TTATTAAATCGTGAATTTTTGAGTAGTTAAGAGATTATAGCCAGGGAGCCGGACCGCGGGTTCGCATTACATTCTAATATGAATTTAAAATATATTTGATAAACTTAAATATTTATTAGTTTTAAAAATAAAAAGGCAAAGATTATGTGCCCAATCAAGTCATTGGCATGCATAGCAGACGACCGACTATATCTTCTTTCGTGTTGCGGAGAACACAAAAGTCGTCATATCTCAGCGTAGTAGACGACCAACGAGATCTTCTTTCATGTTGCAGCGAAGAAGAAAGTCGTCCCCGTCTTACGTAGCATGAGACCAACTGAATTTTCTTTTGCGTTGCAGTGCAAAAGAAAGTCGTCCCCATCCTGCATAACAAGTGATTAACGAGTTTTTATTTCTCGCTGCGGTGTAGAAGAAAATCGCCTCATTCTACATAGCAGGCAATCAATGAGATATGCTTTCACATTATTGTGTAGAAGAAAGCCATCCCTGTCCTCCGTAGCAGGTGATCAATATGATATTTTTTTCTGTTGTGACATAGGAAAAAGTTGTTCTCGCCTGTGTAACAGACGACCAACGAGATCTTCTTTCTTGAAGACGGTGCAAATGAAAGTCATCCTCGACATATGTAGCATGAGATTGACGAGATCTTCTTCCATGTTATTCTGAAAGAAAAAATTGTCCTGTCCAGCATAACAAACGATCAACGATATCTTTTTTATTAAAAAAGGTGTAGGGGAAAATTGTCCCCGTCCTGTGTAGCAAACGATCAATGAGATCTTCTTTCATCTTATATTGAAGGAGAAAGTCGTACCTGTCATGCGTAGGAGACGATCAACAAGATATTCTTTCATGTTACTGTGAAGGAGAAATTCGTCCTTGTCCTGTGCAGCAGACGATCAACGTGATATTTTTGTGCGCTAATGACATGAAGAAAGTTATTCAGATTCGACATTCATTTGACCTTCCAAATGTGTCCAGAAATCTGTTAAAAACAGTTTATTAGCTTGATCGGGGCTTGATTTGACTCAGATTGAACCAATTTTGGTATCATTGGATCCGCCTCGTTGAACCGGTCAGTTTGACTATAAGTTTGTTTTCGGATAACTTTTTATCAAAGCTTGAACGTTTCTTGCTAAAAAAAGTGCATCGGGATCATTCTCATTCCTTGAGATTCATGCCAGATGTTATAAATTTGTTGACGGCGTATCACTTATACTACTCGAAAATTTTGACGATTATCCATTCTTTTTGAAGGGCTCAAACTCTTTTGAATCATGCAAATATACTATGTATTGGTATCACCTGGCCCAATGAATCCCTGAAAGTTCAAAGAATAAAAGAGACGAGACTAACATATTTAGGATAACACCTAAGAAGTCTACAATGAGAAAAATAATAACAAGTAGAACAAAAAAAAAATAAAAATAAAGACGTGTATGATTCAACGCCATCATATGTCTACCATATAGAGACATAAAAGAACATCATAACATACAAAAAAGTGATTAATGAAAGCTCAATAACATCTTTATATGAGTACATGGGTAAAACATCTTAAGCGTGTTTTGGGATGTATGCATAATGCATTTGAAGATTAATTTTCGTCGAGATGCCTTAAATTGTTACTATTTATAATATTACCCTTCCGGAAAGATTAATTGAAAATACTTTCAATGATGATGTTATTCTAACATCAATGGTTGTCATCCATGACTTTTCTTAAATGGAAGTTCCCCTTATAACATCCATCAATCCTATATTCTTTGAATATAACTCATAATATTTTTCATTTTAATCAAATTCTCAATAGTTTGATGGCGGTATTTGTAAATATCCATATTTCGGGTGGGCTAGATGTAATTATATATACTAAAAAAATATAATATATATATATATATATCTAATACCTAAACTTTAATATTTACATGCATACCACAAAAATGACAAAATTACCGCTATTACTGAATTTTTAAAAGTGCAATAGAGCTTTTCATGCATAGATTGTGTTTGTAACACCAACGTGTTCTAAATATTAATATCAAACATTAGGGTGGCATGTAAATTTCACAAAAAAAAGGGGGCATTTACATACATACCGCCTAATTCATATACATTTACATATCTAACACTTAAAACTTCGTAGTTTACACCACCACTCAATATTTTCTCATCACATAAAATATATCACTATTTTAACTTCTTAAATATGAAATACATTTCTTCATACATAAGTTGTTGGGTAATGTGGAGACCCGGTCCACCGAATTTAATTAGCTTCTTAATTAAGTATCCCACCTACCGCTCACATACCACATCCCACCTAACGCTCATCTACCTCCCAGATACCGCTCTCATGATTTCTATAAATAGTCACTTTTGGTTTAAATGCAAGCTAAACAAGCCCAAACCAAGTCATCTTGAGAGCTAAGAGAAAGAGAGAAAGAGAGAGAGAGAGAGGAAGGGAGAGAAGAAAA